TATATTTGAGTGGACCAATGGGGCACTGTAAACTGCGGTATTCTACGACATTTAACACTAAAAGTACTTTTTTGACAACTACGTTATCCTGAAGTAGAAAATACCGTTTTATACCTATCATACTTCATTAGCGATGGGGAAAATATAATTCCTTAAAAAAAAATACTTAATTTTCCTACCATTAATATAGGTCCATGGAATTGTCAAATCCTGACTGCCTCCTTACATATTGAAGTAGTTGTCTCATCCCTACCTTCTAGCCAGACCTCCCTTACTATGCTGCTTTCATTTTAGGCACTTGAAATTTTCTCTGAGTACAAATGGGCTAACTTTCAAGTGCAGTAAATCTAGAACTCTGAAGGATGTCTCCGTTGATGGATTCAACCAATATTTCTCTGAATCTGATCCACGTTATGAACGAATATTATTCATGGACAAGACCCATTGTTCCACGAGCGGAAGAAACGAAGTAGATCTTTCCATTCCCAGAGCATTGACAAGGACATGGACATGGACATGCACAAGGGAAGCTATTCCGATTCCGAAGTTCTTTTCTGAACGGGGACTCTTGGTAAACAAACGTACCCGCCCCAGATGTCATCTCTCTTCATTTCCTTGAGAATCGCGCAGAGGTCGAAGGTATGTTGAGGATTTCTTTGAAGGAAGATATAAAAAGCCCCATCGATTTTCTTCCCGTAAGTTGCCTTTTCCTTCAGCTCCCTTTCTTGCACTAATGACATGAAGTCATTCTGCGTGAGCTTGTCGAGGAAATGATCTGTGTCCATCATCATGTCTTTGCCCTTGATACTCTTCATGTCTTTTAGCGCCGTTCTACACCAGGCATCCATTGATTGCGCGAATTCGAAGTGGGGGGGGGGGGAATTCAGAATCTCTCGATAACGCCCAGTCAAAAATTTATGGTTGGGCCAACTGAAGCTCAATGGCGACCCATCCATACACCATCTTTGGGCCATCAGCAGGTTATCGTTGGCTATGGTTGGTCATATCTGGATCGGCCGACCTTCGGGCCATCCTTATCTGACCATCCCATAGCCACATGTGGACTGCAACAGTGCCACCCATAAGCCAACCTTTTACGAATGCATCAACCCTCAACCCAACTCAATGCCACAGTACAATTGCCACATTCTAATTAGCCCCCACCCACATTCTCCACACTGGCTTCCACTGGCTACCTAACTTACGCCATACGTTCCACAATTGAGTAATTTAAATATGATCTACTCCTCTCTTCACTGGTCAAGCGCGCTTCTCGAATGTCCTCGCGAGGACCAGCTCGCCAATGAACTTGATGCAAGAATTTGTCTTGACCAGGGGCCCTTCCAGACGCCCGGGCTAGAAAAAGTAAATCACTTTAACTTCTGATTGCTTTGGGTTATAAATGGCCTCTATGTAATCTTTGCTCTGCGATATAAGCTTAGATTTTAATTTTTGCACTTCCAGTATCTGGAAACACCCAGGCTCAGTAGAGACATCTAGCGATTGACACGACAAGCATGGGTCAAGGGTCATTCTGGGGGTCAATCAACTTTAGCAGGACCGCATGCTCTTCTCTTCCCATGTTCTCTTACCGTGACGATAGAATTTGTTTAGTTATTGAGTACGATTTGAGTTTCTTCATTCTTCCAAGATACATCGATTTTGCAGAGTAGTGATTAGTCATGAGAAGAATGCTTATAATTTTCCCCATCGGCATAAGGTAGATGTACCCTGTCTATAGTGTTTTCCACTAGTCATTCATGATTGATCTTCGACATGAAGTGTCCAAGTCAAGTGATAAACATGATGCATTGCATCAACGGCTCGTGCACGGTCATATGGCAGTAGGTCGCAGCTGCTGGGTACCTTTAATAGGAAGATACCCCATGGGTGGCCTATGGCTGGTGCATCGATATGCTGCCAACCCGACTATTACCCAACTTTCCGATTTATGGCCCAATCTTAAGCCAACCATAATTTTTGACTGGGCGATGTGATGAATTGGAAACTGATATCAACCACACTGTAGCAGACTTGCGAGCCTGAGAAAGATCTTGAATATTTTTTGGTGACAGGATGAAAGACCAGTCAATTGATACCACCGTACTTCAAGGGCAGGTATGCCCTCAGAATGAGTCATTTTCCACAACCGTGGAAAAAGGGAAGTCACGATGGAACTTCAGAGGTCGCCATGGCTCCGAATGCGTTCCAACGAATTGAAGTCACCCGTCACTGGTATGCTATTGTTTGATAACGCTAGCCTGTGATAAGATAGCTTGCTCGGCCATTCCATTATACCCTCATTCAGTTTTCAAGGTAACCTTACAGCTAAGGTAAAGAAAGCCTTTAACTCTTGACATGTATCACCCCTTGCAGGCAAGGGGTGATACACGCCTCAAAATGGAAGGAGTGAGGCAGACAAGGTTTAAGACTATTTATTTTTGAAGGGGCGCCAAAACGAATAATGAATGAGTAACTGAAGGCAGCTATCACAGGGTGTCCCAAAAAAGCTAGCATTGCAAGCACAGATTCATCATATATTACCCTGAACTAAGGGGAGCATTGAAGCATTTTTTACAGTTAAAAAAACTAGAGTCAGCATTCATTTGCTAATAACCATGGATCAAGGCATGAAAGGGGATCATTTCTAAATTAAGACGGTAAGTCATGAAAATTTTCCATGAAAAAAGTAAATGTCATAATCATCACATGTCACTCAAGGACATGTAGAACAATCTCAACACACCTTCGACATTACAGGGCGTCAAGAAACTACTTTCTCCCCCTATACAGAGAATGCAACATAATGGAGGAAAGGAGTGTTTTAACCATAACTACCTTCAAGATGGAATGATTCCATGATTCAACTATTTGTATTTCATCCCCCTGACGACCATACATCTCAAATATTCCCAAACTCCGCATCAACGTATTCATAATTCTTGTTTCAGTTAGCCCGAACTCACTCCTCAGAACTTCCAATCTTCCTTGCTATCCATCCTTGCAATCCATGTCTCGTTGATAATCAGTGTCGAGCAACCATTGAGCGAAACGAATTACGTTTACAGCCGCACGCATATTTTCTGTCAAACGAACAGTTTTGAACGATGGCCACAGCGGGCTCATTTTGATGGAAGCCATGACGACTTGACCATGAGATGCTTCGCGGACGACTGGCAACATTTGGCGCAGTTGCCAGTCTGCGCTGTTGCGCTGCCACATAAATTCGCAAAAATTGCATCAAGAGTGTTTTCAACGCTGGTGGGTACTCTAATGGGTTCGGATGGAGCACGTTACCATTAAGACAGCTGTGACGAAAGCCGCCTTTTCCGGCTTTGAAATGAACAATGCTCAATAGAGCCTTCCGCCTTAATAGGGCTGAGATTGTGCGGAACAGCACAAAACAATTTCTTTGAACGTCCCGGACACCGCAGCTCGAGTATGGGTTGGTGCGTCGACTTGTACACGCGCCGCATTCCACGAACCGTTAGCATTCAGTGCCCGAGTCTGGCCAGTAGGCTGACTTTATCTCTAGTATGGGCTGTTGCAAAACCTTTTGCTATTCGATATTGTGTATTTTCAAGTGTTTCAAACAAATATTTGTATTTTTTATATGAAATATTATTGGGCTGTATTTACAATACCTTTTGCAGCGACATTTCATTTTGTATTAAAATACGCAATCACTTTTATTTTGCCTAGCTTTGATGATTGATACAGAGTGCCATGTTTTTATGGAGTACATTCCAGCATTAACCTTTTTGATAATAGTTTCATTTCTCCCGGTTTACACTTGGGACAGGATGGTAAATGGAAAATATTATTCTTGTTGTACTGAAATATGACACCCATACATTGGGCCACGATGCATGCAACTGGCATTTTTGAGAACCTTAAGTGGAATATGGACGAATCTCGAGCGTGCAATTTCCATTGCTAAATTCACACTGGTGGAATTTCCACACAAAAAGCAAATCCACACTTGCAGAACGGATGAGGTTTACTTTTACTAGGGTGTAACGGTATGCTTCTAACTCGCTGCTGCGGATGGGACATTAGATGAAGGAAGGGAGGCGGCAAGATGACACCATTCTTCACCGCGGTCCTACAATGCTCTGATCCTGGGACTGTAGGCGAGACAGCATTCCCGTGTTATTTGGAACATTTCACTTTCTGCCCAACTATTGTATGCATAGCCAGCATGTGCAAGGTGGTTGCTTCCTACGGACCTGATTCATACCGCTAACCGTATCCATCGCAATCCGTATATAATCCATGTGGGGTGTGACATGCCTGGAATTTTAATATTGAAAACATAAGAAAACATTGAAAACTCGTTTGAAATCCATGAGTTTCTCGTCAACGTTTTTGCCTGGATACGTGGAATTCAAGTGACCCCTGTTATATTGGCATTTCATTGAAATATCTTGTAAATACCTTATACATTAAGATTGTGCTTTTCCATGCAAGTTCGTAATACTGTTTTACTTCCCCCTGAAGAAACCTCAAGTGGCTTTGTGTAACGCAGGTGCTTTTTTTGCCCCATCTTCGAAGGAATTCTCGGATCACGTTGATAATCCCAAGTATCGCAGAGAGTAGTATTGCCTAAGTACAAACATATTATCCTCTTGCATTTGCTGATCACTGAATTGGAATCTATGCCCGCTCCGAGTGCCCGTCAAGTGACCAGGGTTGTCCTAATGATAGTTTTTCTTTGCCTTGATTTGGAGGTTCCAGGTCACTTCTACGGTCATTTCTTCGATTGGACGCCTTTTCGACTGGAGGTTTCGACGAAAGCCTTTCTAAGAAGTGTCCATTCGAAGAAATGACCTGGAACGGATTTGAAGCATTCACCTCCGCACCAAGTTTCTCTTGCTCATGAAGTCGATACCCTGAATTGTTTAGACACTTGATTTTCTCATTCAAATGAAGAAAATGGCAAGCGCACTGGGGTATAATTACAGCCGTATGGTTCAATAAATCCATGTTAAAGGAATACAGCCCTTTTATTGCATGCATGATGATATCTATGGTTGATTGGATGGTTCAGCGGAAGCAATTGATGCCAACCGAGATGGCGAGGATGCCAACCGGGATGGCGAAGATGCCAACCGAGATGGCGAGGATTACCATGATGGCTGCTTTGACGCCATTCTTTTCGCTGTAAAAGACATGTTAAATTTCAATTTACAATGCTGCGAATACTGAATTATACATTTTAAATGAAATGAAAATAAATTTGTTAGAGGGAATGGACAAAATAGCATGAAAAGGAAATAAAAGGGTGTTACATATGACATGGAATTAAAGCATAAAGTCGTAAAAAATATATAATTATAGTAAGACAGAAGAAAACAAATGCAAAATGAACAAATGGTATCAGGTTAAACTACTAATAGAGGGTCCAGCAGAAAATCAAGGACAAGATTGCAACAACTCAGCCTGCAACATTAACAAAGCTATTGTATCTAGAGATCAGATGACATCAAGACTTAATCCCATAGGAGCCGATGGAAACTGTATGAACACTCTGGAACTGTTGTAAACGCTTCTCAAACAAGATCTACTTTCGATAGAGTATCGAGTAAGAGAAAGGCATCACCTTGATTTCTTGTAAACTTTGTCCATTTTATAGCGTGTGTCATCTATATGGTCTTGGATTTCATTCACTTTCTCTTGTATCTCAGCCGTCGCACGCAATTGTTCCACATTCATAATCTTCATCTGTTCAAGACTGCATTCGGAATCACTAAAAGAGGTTCCAGCAGAAAATCAAGGATAAGATTGCAACAACTCAACCGGCAACAATATCAAAGCTAATGTATCTAGAGATCAGATGACATCAAGATTTAATCCCATAGGGAGCCGATGGAAACTGTAGGAACACTCTGGAACTGTTGCAAACGCTTCTCAAACAAGATCTACTTTCGATAGAGTATCGAGTAAGAGAAAGTCATCACCTTGATTTCTTGCCAACTTCGTCCATTTGAGTAAGTATGTCATCTAATTTCTTCGATGTGCCCTGTTTCATCTGTTCCACCATTTCCTCCACTTTCTCCAGTTTCGTAGTCACATTAAGCATCTTTTCAGCGAACATCTTTTCGATCTTTCCGTGTCCAGTGCTGCAACCCGCACTTGCCACTGAACCACTAAAAGATGTTCCAATAGAAAATCAAGGACTAGCTTGGAACTACTCAGCTGGCAACAGCTGGTGATGAATCTAGAGATCAGATCACGTCACGATTTAATCCCTTAGGAGCCGATGGAAACTGAAAGACCTCTGGAACTGTCGCCAACGGTTCCCTAACGAGAATTAATTTAAATAGATTACCCAGAAGAAAGGAGGTTCAGGATTTCCTTGAGCCCTTTTTTCATTTCACGTTGTGTGTCATCGACTTTCTTCTCAATTCTGTCCAATCTCTCCTGCACGGTCATCTCACCCAATTGTTTCTCGGGCATCTCCTCGGTCTTCTCAGGTTCAGATGTGTGAACTGGAGTCAGCTGCATTTCCATCAAAATATTTACGTTATGGATTGGATTTCGGTTTCAAATTCATTTTCCATTTCAGGTACTATGGGAACAAAAAAATTGACCCCCTGGATCGGAATTCCGCTTCATAAGCTCATTACACGATTTGGAGGAACGGAGATCTTATCGATGTAAATAGAAATATGCGATAGAAACGTCTGTCAACGGTATTCGTACCAATAAGCAAGACTTTCTCGAAGCAGACTTAACCGCCCTTACGAAAATGTCTTATAGGATTCCTATATATTCCTTTGGGAAAACATAGGAATCCTATAGGATCCTATATGCCCTATAGAGTTCAGTTTGGGACCTATAGAGTCCCCTATTGAACCTATAGAGTTCCCTATAGAACCTACTGATCCCCCTATAGAACCTATAGGGTTCCCCATAAAGCATATAGGTTCCCTATAGGACCCAAAGAGTTCTGTATAGGACCCATAGGGTTCCCTATAAAACCTATAGGGTTCCCTATAGGACCTGTAGGGTTCGCTATATGACCTATAGGATTCTCCATAGGACCTATAGGATTCTCTATAGGACCTATAGGGTTCCCTATAGGACCTATAGGGTTCCCTATAGGACCTATAGGGTTCCATATAGGACCTATAGGGTTCCCTATAAGGCTTATACGGAACCCTATAGGCCTATAGGGTTCCGTTTGAAGTTCTCCCCTAGGCCACTAGATGGAAGTATTGGGTTCTCACATTTCTCAAAGGGCACAAAAATGCCCTCCCCTTACCCAAGGAATCATCTCTCACAAGAGAGTTTTGTACGTCCCCTAATGTCTCGCCTTGCCCCATTGTAGCAATCAATTAACTTGGACAGTTCCTTATTTGTCATCCCCATCTTCCAGATATAATCATGGAGTCCCGTGAACAAATATGCCCTTATTCCTTTTGAAGACCACGTACGAAACTAAGAAGACTCTATCCAAATGGAGTTTCAGTAAGGAGACGTGCTCGCAGGTTCTGTCTTCTATTTCCTTAGGTCGAGAGAAAAATGCCACTTCTTCCTACCGAAGAAAGTAGATGTGCAATCCAGCGACACATGTGGGGCGGGGCCATAAATTATGCAGACCCCTGCAGTACTGGAATTATTAATGGATGTGTCCCTACCATGGAAAAACCCCTAATCGGTTCTTTGATTTACACCGAAATGCTGCGCCAATATTATCACCGGTCGACTTTTCCGTCGTAATGCCTGGGTTTCGAAACCCAATATATCCTCCCGGAATCCTATAGGTCAGGAGACCTATGAGACCCTATAGGGATCCTATCGGATCTTAAAGGATCCTATAGGTTTTTCGTGTTTTAAAAACCTATAGGAAAGTCTATAGGTTTACTATAGGACATTTTTGTAAGGGCGAATTGCTGAATTTCCGCTAAAGAAGTTTCGGTGCTGCTGAGCGAAGCTCAAAATGGTTTTGGAAAGATTGATTCATCAACGATTAGGGTGGATCAACCCTACGCTATCTACAATTATCCATCTTCAGGAAGGAACTCACTCTTACTTGTGCCTCTATACACGAGACATGAATTTCATAGTCATAGGAGCATAAGCGGAGATTTTCTGAGAAATTTGCGAGGGCTCAGAGACAGAACTCTTGCAAGTATTCCTTATTCTCATGTCATCGCTATCCTCGCTGTGAGCCCCTTCTGCCAATTTTTTTTTTGGGGGGGAGGGGGCTCGAGCCCCCTGAGACCCTATGAATCGCCGCCTATGGATAGAAGCACCTGTATAATTTCTCTAGTTGTTGTTTGATTCTCTATCCGTAAGGCTGACCCTGAATAGTATGCAGACTTACGATTGAACCTCATAAATTCTACTTCGTATAGCGTCCTAACTCATCGGATGTGGACAGAGAACCATATGGAAAAATTCATGGTTGATTATCACTTGCATGAAATAGGATCAGGAAGAAAAAACCCAACATAGATGCGGTATTCAGTTTAATCACTTCAGTTTACTAGTATTTCTTAAATTTGTTAGCATTATTTTTTCCCAGACGAACTCTACAAAAAAAATTACCATCAANTCAAGAGCACTTCCGTGGCAAAAGCTGGGTCTTCCAGCAAGACTCAGCCCCAGCACACAAGGCAAAAAGCACAATCGAGTGGGGCCAAAAAAATTTTCCTGGCCTGATTACACCAGAAGAATGGCCTTCCAGTTCACCTGATCTGAATCTAATGGATTACAGCATCTGGTCGTATTTGGAGGCCAAGGTCTGCGCAAAAGCCCACCGAAGTTTGGTGGCTCTCAAACGCGATCTCAGGCGCGCATGGGATGAAATGCCTCTCGAGCAGCTTCGAACCACCGTGGATGACTTCCCAAAACGATTGAGGCAAGTTCTGGCCGCCAAAGGTGGTCATTTTGAAAACTAAATAATGATTTTGTAGGGTTTTTCGTTGGTCATTGGTGGTTCATTGGTCTACTTGTTTTTGTTCTGGGCCTTCATTACAAAGAAATGAATTTACTTTTCCTTGTCCAAGGACTTTTGAGTCACCCTGTACACGGGGATAGGATTTTGAAGAGCGGAAACATAGTAGAGAAGAGGGGAAGCATGTCCCCGTCCCAGTCACATGTCCGGACAGTAAGACAAGGGGTGAGAGGGCGAGTGCCAGACACGTCTTGGCACGAAAGTATGGAGGGGAGGGGAGAGGGTGAAGGGGGAATAAAGAGAGAGAATGTGCGTCATTCCTGTCTTCTGCTCATGACGTTTTATGCAGGAAAAATAAACTTCAACGTGGATAAAATTCCACTAGTCGATAATCCGTAATACTAGAACGATTCAAGTACCATCTGAATCGTGGATCATTCTGGCACATGATTAGTGGAAGCAGCTTTGCGTGTTTTGCGAGGGATGAGGCAGGCAAGGGATAACGTGACCGATTCCTGCAGGATTCCCCGACATGACATCAGTCAAATCACTATAAATCAGAGAACTATTAATATATTGCCACATACAGTAAATGGGCAGAGCCCTTCGTGACAGTTGTCTCTAAATATCGCTGCACAAAAATCATAACATATTTTTGTTCCCGAGCAATCTGGGTCCAGGGAGCAATCTGGTCTGGGAGCAATCCGAAGTTCCAAAAAGAAAGCGTGATTTTCGAGAGGATTTTCAAGTGGCACGCAAAAACTGTCTAAGATTTAAATGCCACATTGCAACATGATGCAACTGGCCATTATGCAAAATCGTACAATGGATTTCTCGATGCGTTGCTTTCAAAGGATTTGGGAGGGCAAACGTGAGGCGCAACGAGATGAGATTTTCGCTAAATTCGTACCCCATCCCGAACCAGTGGTAGCATCATTAAGAATTTTATATATTTGCTTAGAATAGAATCTAAGGAAGAGATTGTGACTAAGTTCATAGTTTTGCGTGGAACGATGCCGGATGCCTCTGAAGAGACACATCGAAATCGTGACCTTTGACCCTACCTCCTGTCCACACCTTCCTGAGAATTTTTATTTGAACACAATTGCAAGTTATCTCCATCACCGGATTTGTCTTTAAGACACCATCACACTCAGAACGAACTTCTGCATCATGAAACCCGCTTTGAAGTGGATACTTCTATAGTGTGCATTTCATCATGTGGAGTGAGGGAAGCACACGACACAACGTATAAAAGTACAATGTACAATATTTATACCTCATCAATGATGCCAATGATGTCTTCCCTCGACAATTCTCGCAGAATCGTAAGAAGCATCCTGTAGGTCGGTTCGGGATTTTTCGTGAGGAGGATCAAGAAGACTCTTTCAATCTTCTGCTTGTATGTTGACATACTTCTCAGGTCCATCTTCTCCCGATTAGTGATGAGGTGTTTATCAGACAGCTTCTCCAAGAATCCATTTGAATCTAATCTGATACTCTCGTCCATGGCCGCTACGCTGAAGCGTCTCAGGGCCATTCCGTAGTCAGCCATCGTGCAATATCCGAGTTAAGGACTGAAATCTATAGAGTCGCAGATTATTGGAGAAAGATGTGAGTCGAATCGCGACTTGAATCAATGAAGAAAATCTGATGAGTGAAAAAGGGCAGTTACTCAATGAAAGACTCCAACTTATTCTCCTTTTGGTCCAGAAAGCGGAATATTTATTATCTATATCTACAACTTCATCAAAGTAGCTCAAGTAAGGTTCAATTGGATTCGGAGAGCTCGAAAGCACGACTCTGCATTCAGTTCATTTTACCGCATGTGTTTGTGGGGAAACAGGTTGATAGCGACCAAGGAATGCGAATCTGCAATGCTTTCATTTAAGTGGAGTCTATATACGAGGTATTCCCTTTACTCATGCTTTCATGGAGACAACGGTATGTACGTCGTTTTTTCATTGGTGAAATGAAACAGTCTTGGTATTGCAGTATTTTACTTTGACAACGCAATGAAATAACGAATCCTGAAATGCTAAAAAATGTCAACCTTCGCCACTGAGTGGCACGAAGCCACATGAGGTAGCACGGGAATATGTCAGCATTATGTCGTCTCTATCTGAAGCGCACTTCAGAATTATTATTAACCCTCAGAAGTTCAGGCCAAAAGGGAAGTTCGTCTCAACCCACTGCCCCTTCACATCACCAACTACTTTAACCCCGTTGAACTCCCAGGAGTTTAGGTATCGGCTCAATCGACTTCTGTCCCGGTGAATCCTGTTCCCCGTAAAAAAAAAAAACCTATTACCTCATTCATGAGTGATCAAGGAGCGGGAGGGGAAGGGGGGAGAGCGGCATTCGATAACGTTGTTGTTAAGGTCCTGGGGCTGCTCGGTCCCAGAACCTTAAAGTTCCTTCTGAACGGATGCCAGCTCAATGAAAATTATCGCCCAGTAAATCGCTTTCCTGGGCAGATATGGGGATGGTGTGATGGGAGTGGTAGGTTTCCTGGGTGGTAGGGTTCCTGGGGGAGAAACATTGATCAATTCCATTTAAAAAAAAATAATAATTTTTCCGATTAACGTCAAGTATACATCTT